ACCTCAAAGTGCACAAGCTTCAAACTTCAGCATTGGCTGCGATTTTGAAGCTGAAATCGCGTTCGGTGTGAACGTACCATGAGACAGTTCCTTAATAATTTGACTCGAGGTGACCCCTACACTCCAACTCACTCACTCTGCAAACACATCCAGTGTTTGCTCTGGAGCAGCAAACTCCAAAAACCTTTTTTCTATAAATAGTCCGTGGGCCAGAACACTTTTTGGTCCATTTCAGGGTGGCAAGGCTTTGTCATAATTATTGAAAATATACATGTCTGTAGATGATATTTTGGTATGATAGCCCTTTCAGAGTGGTAGCTAAATCACAGCTATCAGCTCATAACGTTAAAAACCTGTTAAGAGAACTTCTGTTTTTGACACTGTTTTTTAGCCAGTTTAAGCTCATGATACAGACATTGGTCAAAGGTGTATAATATTGTGTTTAGTATAATTTTAAAGGGGACACTCTGGACTTTCATTTAAGCTCTTATTTGTGTCTCTCTAATCAACACAGGGGTCACTAGAACTCTTTAAACCACAAATAACACACATTTTTGCACAATTTTGCCCAAATTAAATTCTTTCTTTTAGTTCTGTGACACCCAGGGGGCATCAGAGATGGAAGAGTGCTGCAATACTCACAGGACTCTACGGATTCAGGAAATGTAGCTATAATATACCCATACTGTCTCTTACTGTCCAGTGAAAATGATTTTTTCATCTTGCTGATTAGCAGCACCTGGCTGAAAATTCTTATGAAAGATAAATATGGAGATCATATTTCTCGTGGTTCTTTCGTATTTTGCCTTCATCTTTTAGTAAATAAATAATGAATAAACTGTTAAATTGTAGAAGAATATTAGAAGATGGTTGCTATGAATAATAATAATAAGACAAGTGGTTATAAACAAGCACAAACATAGAGCTAATTAAAGTTAAAGTAAGTAAGTAAAGTTTTATTTATAAAGCGCCTTTCACAGAAATATATTCACAAGGTGCTGTACAGTCATTAACAGTATAAAAATGGTGAAAAGAATAAAATGAAACAGAAAAACATAATTACACATAAGCAATGAAAATTCAACATCAAATCAGGAATTAATTTCTAAAATTGTAAATCAAACACAAGGTCAGTGCAGGTCAAAATAAACAGTGATACACAAAAACATAATAGCTGCGGGAGAGAAAATATGGCGTAAGTTCAATAATAAAGAAAACATATTTGCGAAGCATTCACAATGGAGGTAAACTGGCAGTAATGGTAAAACGGTTAGCTAAACACTTGAGAGAAAAAGTGAGTTTATAGGAGTGTCTTGAAAGAGACAATGGGCCTCATGCAAGAACCGTTCGTATGCACAAATTTGTTCT